AGGCATGGTCTTAAGATTAGAATCCTGTAGGTGAGGCCAGTGAATGGAAGGTTGAATGGTCTTAGATATTTCCAATGATGGCTGTTCCTTGGTAGGCCGATCAGTTTTATATATTATCAAAGCTAACACTACTTGTAGTCTTCCCAAGTGCATTTAAGGAAACATGTTGCCAGGTATTTGCAACCCACCTAGTGTGGTCATATCCATTGAAAATTTGGAGTCCACTAGGTGTGGTCTTTGCAAAACCACCGAATATGTTGCCAGATTTAACTGTCCATTAAGAGGATATCATTTGTCATAAATAATTGTCCATTTAGAAACTCAATACAACAAATGTAGTGAAACGACTTATTCGTCGTGCTCCTTGAGGATTAGACTGAGAGTATTATTAGAAATCACCCAAAATAGGAGCAAAACATAGCTCTTATGCCAAAATAGGAGTGACATGTTTCCCAAAATAGGACTGTTGCACTATGACAATGTGGCACACTGGCACTGCATATTGGCATTCGGTTGTGTTTTTTGGTATTATATGTTGGCATTCTAGGTCTTATTTTGGGTATAAAAACATGAAGGTCTTATTTTGGTTCTTTATCTATGTTTCACTCCCCAAATCCTACTCTCGTGGGATCCAACTCGGTTGTTGTTGTTGTATTATTAGCCTTTTCAATCAAGAATTTTGGAAAACAAATGGTCAGTAGGTCTCTTTAACTCTTTACTAAGTGTCTCTTGCTCTGACTTCCAACTTTTCATTTTTCCCATTCAATTGCAAACAAAGAAAGAGAGATGCAAACATACTCTGTACTCCATAGTAATTATAAAATGGATATTCTTGGTGGTTTAAGAAAAATTTAATGCTTTCTTAAAACGTGATTTATAGAGACAGATAAACCTTAAAGGACGGAGCATGGATTAGGAAGCTGTCTACTTCCGTGTAGAGGAAGGGTCAGACCAATTGATAGAAACTAAAGAAGTTCAACAAAAAAAGCAATTTATTAAATAAAAAGAAACAAATCGACAATGAAAGAGTTTCAAAGAAACACTCCCAGAGCATTGAAGCCTTGAAGGAATCCCTCTACCCCCTTCCGAAAGTACATATTCCCCCAGCCAATGCCTGATTATTTTCTCGTATGTTCCCAATCCCTTTCGGCCTTTCTTCTAAAGAGGAGACAATTTATACGATAATGTTTCATTAATGAGTACAGATTCATTAAATCTTGTCCCTAACTCTATCAATCCCAAATCAGTTTTTACTCAACTTGATTAGGTCCTTTCCTTTCTCATAATTTTGTTATTTAAACATCTGATGTAAATTTCCAATGGAGCTAAAAGCAAGGTTTTGAAAGGTGAAATCGGTCCTCGAGGCATGAAAAGCTTTAAGCCTCGATATAATTTAAATAAAATAATACAAGAAAATGCATAATTCATACTGTGAAAAAGAGTAGTACTCTTACTGCATTGTTATATTATTATATGTAATATAACATTAAAAATAAATTTTGAAAAATGTAAAAAACAAAACCAAACAATGATAAACAACCACAAACTATTGTTACCAATTACCAATAAGACAATAAGTAATAGACTAATAGCATAATTCTCCAATATAAACAGCTACAAACTAATTCTGAATTAAAGAATAGATTAAATAAAGAGGGTGGCCTTTAAGAACATTCATAAAATCATGATAAAAGGTCAAGGCTTTAGCCTTGCGCCTTGGTACACCTCATCTATCTGGGGTGTAAGCCTCAAAATACCTTCAAGCGTCACTGCCTCGAGGCGGACCGCTTCAGACGCCTTTGAAAACCATGGCTAAAAGAGTAAATTTTTACGAGAGTATAGCTTCACGTAAATAATATATTAGCTTGAAATGACACATTAAACTTCTTTGTATTTTACAGGAGTAAGGCTGCCTACATGTGTGCATCTTGACCCCAGACTTGAACATAGTTGAGATTGCACTGACTTTTTTTGTTGTTAATTGGCTTCCCTATATGTGTCATAATTCATAGGTTTACCATATGAAGGAATGAAGTCTAGTACCATAAAGATGGTCTTTGTATATTTCCAGTCCAGATGTCCTTTATCTCTGAACAGACAGTAGTTTATGTTTAGTCATTCATATTTGGTTATTTGAATACCCAAGATGTGCCTTTTTTAATGTGAAGTACTTATGATGCAAAATAAATTGACTAATATGAAATCTTAGCTGATCCTATCTTTGTTAGAATCCCTATAAATTGCGCCAAAAATTTTAATTTGTGACTCAGCTCAATCAAATTTGAAAACTGAAAATTGCGTGAATTGGCTGTTTTTTCACAAATTTGATTGCAGATATTAAGTTATCCTGTACTCAGTGATCTTAATGAAAAACTGACACCTGCTGGATCCCAGGTATATCCATGGAGGGTGATGACATACTGTTAGCAGAAATGAATGTAAAAGCAACACCCAAAAGAGATGAATGGATGACAACACTGCCTCCCGAAAGAAAAGTAAGGTCTATTCCTACTTATCTCATTTTTTGAATGAAGTTAAGAAGATTGTGATGGATAAGAGAGGCATCGCATAACCAGTTTTATCTGAGTGAATTTAGATTTTTACAACACACACAGTCACGCACACACACAAACAGACACTCCCTCCTTCCCTTGATAAACTTTACAATTTCCATTTCAGATATCCTAAATAAAGTTTACACTTTTTCCCATTTCCATTTCTGAAAAGGAATATGTGGTTCACAATATATCTTCTTCACTAACTCTAGCCACTTTACACTTTTCAATAGTTTTCTCGAACTTTGTGAAATCAATTTATCAACTTTATAATGGGCGGAGGGGGTATATATACGTATATGAAAAGATCATAGAACATAGATGTGAAAAGTGCAGGCCATGATGCCTAGCTACATGTGAGGCGAGCTCTATTAAAGAGGCCCACACCTAGATGTGCATTGCCGTCTTATGCGGATCATTGTAGTTTAATTATTAGGAGAAAGGCTTGATCTAGTTTGTTTTTTAGAGGTTTTTGTTTATACTCAACACTCATTACCCGCTATTCACATCGAATTTCTTTAGAAGTTTTTTAATACAACCACATTAGTAGTGTGTAATTCTACACTATTGTATTTGATCAATCATTTCATCTTGTTTTGGTGCCATGATTGTTACGTCTTCGACTATGCATTAGGTTTCCGGGGACAACCGGCGGCGGCGAATGGAGTAAACAACACATCACCCCGATAGCTCAGATATCAAAAACCTTAACCTATGGCTATCGCCACCCATTGTGAGGTTGATCCACCACCGCTGCCGCTAGAGTGAATTTGATCTGCCGCCGCCGTCATTCGTTGCTGCCGGTGTCCTGTTTAGTAAGCTAAGACTTTAGTAGTTTTGTTTTGTTCCTTTGGACTTTCCATATTTTGTATCATTGCATTTTTATTTTCTTTATTTTGCTTCTTTGTTTTACCTTTTTGTAGTGAGGGTGGGGGTTGGGAGTGGGCCTAGGGACGAGTCTTTTACTCTATTTGGGTTTGTTTTTCTTTTTATTATACTCTAGTTAATACTCCGTACAACATAGAATTGTAAAACTCTTTTGAATACTCTTTCTTATCTAAACTTTGTTCTAAGACTCATTACTTCTTTATTTTAGTATTTCTTCAACTAAATTATGTGTTAGGCATTACACTAATTGATTAGTCGTGCTGGCAACTCGACTTGTTGATGTGACAACCATGTTTAGTACATTAGGTTTCATTCATAATGTGGGCTGCGTTTTGGTATGTGTATGAACTGTTAGCAATATTAATACAGAATGTATGTATTAATCTTCTCCCCAGGATTAGTTTTGATCTTTTGAAACGAAATTTTCTATTTCATTTTCTTCTTAAGCCTGGTGGGATGACAATGCACTCAACAACGTTTAGCAAGAATTCCAAGGAGGGGCGTGGTGATACTAGTGCCTGGACAGACACTCCTTCTGAGAGAGCACTGAAAGCCAAGATGAAGTGAGCTTAATTACTATTATGTTATATTCTATCTAGTCTAAAGATGATATTTTATATTTTTATATATTAAAAGAATTGACACTAAATATACATTTTTCAAAAATTGCAGCTATCTAGAAGCGTACAATGAGGCGGCTGCACTTGCCTCAAAAGAAGAGGGCATTAAAAGGGGAAGCGCAGATGCTGAGCTTGTGGACCAGTACAACAAAGCGAAACGGTCAAAATCTTTGGTCGAAAAGCATATTCACGAACAGGCTGCTCAGAGCAAGTCCAAGAAAAAAGCAAAAAAGCATGAGGCGGGGGAGAAAGAGGAGTGGGAAGGAAAACACCCGTGGAGGCCATGGGATCGCGAAAAGGATCTTACTGCTGGAAGGCAAAGCGTCAAGCTTGATGCCGAGAACATGGCTCAGGGTTTGACTTCCAGGTTTTCTTCTGCCTCTTTCCAGAGGAACTTCCTTTAGACTCAAGGAGGGGCAAATACCTTTTCTTTCTCAACCTATGTTTATCTAGGTTTCAACATACATACTTAACACATGTTTCCACTGAAGGGTGGATTGATAAATATTTATGTTCATTTCAAGTTTCAACCGGTTGCCATTGTTATGAAATACGTAGTATTAGTTTGAGATCAGTTATGAAATATTCCTTTACGCCATTGAGATTTTAAGACTTGTGTACTCCCGTTATGAAACTCATTATCACTATTATAGATTGTGTTAACTTTCAAGTCTCAACTAGATATATAACACCCACTCCAATTCATAGGTAAATTATCATGCAGGAGCTATCTGTTCTCTACACAGTCATATTTTAATGACTATAGGCCTCTTTGTCAGATTTTTCTTTTTGATTTATGGTCATATATCAAGGCCTTGTTTTTTCGGGTAGCAATTTCGAAGTTGGATGTTGGAAGAAATTGGAAGAAACTACAAGGAGTTTGATAAAACTGGAAAGAGTTGAAAAATGTTAGAAGAATTAAAGTGTTAAAAAATCACCCAATTTAAAGATTTTTTTAAACAAAAGCACAATTTTATTACCACTTCAAAGGTTCAAATACATCCAACAAAACAAGAATATATATCTCAACACTATGTTTTTGAGTCTATAATTAATGAAAGTCTTCATTTGGAATTTAATCATTCTATGCTTTCTTCAACGGTAAGCACCTTCTCCTGCTTGATCCTTAGGTTGCGAGCTCTCCATACAGCATAGCACACTGCAGCAAATCCTGCTATGACTATCTGCCTCTTTCTCCTTCCTCGAATATGTTCGAGTACTTCCTTCATAGTTGCGTCATTCTTGGCCTTCCATTGGATTCCAAGCCACTGCCCAATTTCCTCCTTAATGTTCAAGGCATATGGACAGCCATAGAACAAGTGTTCCTTGTCCTCCTCCCCTCTGCTACACAACACACATCTAGTGTCAATATGCAGAAATCTCCTTAATCTCACTTTAGTGCTAATTCTATTCCTCCATCCAAGCCATAGGAGGAACTGGTGTTTGGGCACAGTCAGTTTGTTCCACACAATAGGATATTCAGGGTATGCAGTGGGCTCTCCCATGAGCCATTCAGAATCTAATTGGGTTTCATACTCCCCCTTCAACTTCATACTTGCAAACAACTTCCTATTGTGTAATAGCTTCCTCAAGTAATAGCACATGCCAGCTTTTGGTTGAATATCCTATATCTTACTTCTCTTAAGATACTTGTTATGAATCCATTTAATCCACAACACATCTTTTTTGCTTGCTAAATCCCATACGAGGCTATGATTACAGGCATAATTCCAAAAAACCAAGTTCATAATTCTCAGCCCCCTTCCTTCTTTGGTCTACAAACATCATCCCAACCCACTGCAGACACCTTACTGTATTCAGCCTTTGAACCCCATAGTAAGTTTCTACAGATGCTTTGAATTTGATGCATTACCTTACCAAGAATGATAAATAGCCTACACCAAAATGTTATAATGCCAATCAGCATAGAGTTGATCAGCTTGCATCTCCTTGCATATGAAAGATGTTTAGTTGCCCAAACTGTAATTTTGATTGTTAACTTATGAACTAAAGCTTCACATTCCCTGTTTGTTATTCTACTGGCTGTGATGGGACCTCCAAGATATTTGAATGGTAGCTCACCCCCTACTCATTTCAATTTCCCTTCTTATTTCATCAGCATTTTGTTCACTAACTCCCCCCATTACAATCTGGGACTTAGAGTAGTTTACCTCCAGCCCATTCACCCTCTTGAAGTGATCAAGGCACTTGAGAATGGTTTTGATTGACCACATTTCATCTTTACAGGCCACTATTAGATCATAAGCAAAAGCTAGGTTGATGAGATCAAGTCCTCTACACATAGGATGATATTTAAAACAACCTTTATCAGCATGGTATCTAAAAGTTCTAGACAGATACTCCATAATTAGAGTAAAGAGTAGAGGAGATATAGGATCTCCGTGTCTAATTCCTTTTCCTCCCTTAAAGTAATGATAGCTCTCACCATTCAGTATCAAGGAATAGCTTGTATTAGAAATACAGTAATAATAAACCCAATCAATATATAGTTTAGGGAATCTCACTGCCTCCATGATACTTTTAATTGCCCTCCAACTAATTGAATCATAGGCCTTCTTAAGGTCTATCTTCATCAAACACCTTGGTGATATATCCTTTCTGTTATAGTACTTGGCTAGTTCCTGGCATAAATGGACATTATGCACCATGAATCTACCTTCAACAAAAGCACCCTGGTTAAGATTCACTATGCTTGGCAGCACTTTCTTCAGTTTGCAACATAGGATCTTAGATATATAACCTTATATAGGACATTACAGCAGGCAATATGCCTGAATTCATTAGGAGATTCTGGATCTTCCACTTTAGGAATCATCACAATATTAGTGGCATTAAGCTGTTTAGGGAACTCTCTATTATTAAAGAACTCTTTAATGGCCTTCACCACTAACTCACCTAGTACATTCTAGTTGTTTTTATAAAAGTCACTGTTATAACCATCCAGACATGGGCTTTTGGTGTTAGGGATTGAGAACACTGCTTGGGTAACATCTTCCACAAGTTAGATCTGTTGTTTCACTTTCTGACATGGGCCAATGTTTATGATGTCTTCATGTATAGGTTCAGACCATGCCCTATCCCCCAATAACTTCTAATAGTACCCAACCACCATTACTTCTGCCTATAATAGCTACCTTTCCAAGGAATCTCCTCCATTCCACAAACCAACATAAATTCTCTAAAATCCTTTATTTCCTCTTCAGTTATGTCATTGCCTCCAATCCTATCTTTCAACCAAAGTACAACATTAAAGTCACCAATAACTCCCCAGCTCTTCTTAGTATTCCCAGCTGCTGTTATCTACCAGCATGAGAGCCCCATGTGCATGAGCCATAGCAGCAATTTTACGGATGTCACAAATTTGTTGACGAGGATTTGTAGGACTTTCTAGCCACACAAGCTTTGTCTTTGTTCCCATAGCTGATGCAACTTCATCTAGATTAGTTGTGTTAACTCGCTTCACAACAACTCCACTTCTTGGGATAACTTGTGACAATAGCCGATCTGAACCACCATATAACTTGTGGCAAGAAGCTTTTCTAGTAGATCCCTTGTTGGATTTCCACTCCTTGTATAATCATAAAGGCCATTTTATGTTGCTGAAGGCTGCTTAAAAGTAGCTGTCTGATACAAAGGAGTACTCATGGCATCGTAAGGGTCGAGTTCATCAGAAAAATTCATCAGCACTGTTGAAAAGCTTGGCTCTTTTGGCTCCCATTGCTCCGTAGGTGCCTTGCCCTCCATATCCATGCATTGAGCAGGGGCACCAATGGGGACTGGTACAGTGGCATCCATTCCTATGTGTTTCAGGCAATTCAGTTCGAATTTCTTGGCAATAGATACACGAAATTCCCTTCCACTCACGTTAGGCTTGCAGGCAAGAGCCGCTGGAAATTCTCCATTAATAGAACCAGAGGTTGGGTTTGTAGTCAGAGCGCGAAAGGGAGATTTGAGGTGTCGAGAAGACAAAGATGCCATAGATAAGTGGTAAGAAGTAGTGGCGGTGGCGGAGCCACGATAGAGCTGAAGGGGGCACCAAAATGCAGAGTTCCGGGAAGCGGCCTCATATATATATATATATATATATATATATATATATATATATATATATATATATATATATATATATACGGTAAAAAAAAATATTCTGGAATTTAGAAAATCTAGAATATTTATACGGTAAATAAAAAAATATTTTATTTTCTGGAATTTAGAAAATCTAATTTCTAACATTCTGGAAATTTAAAGTATTTTATGATTTTTAATTAAATTATTTGCTAGTTTAATTAATTTATTGTTGATAGTTTATTCCGTAGAATAGAATAAACTAGGTATGGGGCGAGCGCGGTTCGCCCGGTGTATGATTTAATATGTATGATGTGATGCATGTGATGCTTGTATGTATTATTGCATGGTGGATGATTGTGGCTTAATTTTATTTGTTATAATTTTAAATACGGCCTGCGTGTCGTGCCTCATCTCTATACTTTGGATGTAATTCTCTTCTTTACCTCAAATATTCTTTTCTCTCGAAAATTATAAGAAGATAAAAAGACGAAGTCCGTTCGTGATAGAGAATCCTAAGGAAGACGTGATGCGCCGGAGATAGAGATCTCTTGATCAAGGCGCTATCGTTTGTTTTTCTTTAGGAGCCACAATCATTTCACGTTTACTTATTATGCATGTGATGTATGATTGAATGTATGCATGTATGTGATTTTCGCTAGTGCATGCGCGCGGTGTATGCCATAGGCAAGACTGCGTTATAAATCCCTCATAATTTTAAGTCTGTGCCACCCCGACGCCCCGTCACTCGTCAAACCCAATTTAGATCGGTAACGGACTCACCCAAGTGAGATGCCCGATTTATGTTGGTTAGGCGCGAAACCCGTAACTAGGGTACTGACTCGCCCCGGGATAGTCTTAATTAAGTCTTGGTGATCTTCTGGAACTCATTCATTGTGATGTATGCGGGCCTTTCAATACAACTGCACGAGGTGGTTATTCATACTTCATCACATTTACTTATGACCTCAGTAGATATGGCTACGTGTATCTCATGAAACACAAGTCAGAATCCTTTGAAATGTTCAAAGAATTCAGGAATGAAGTTGAAAAACAACTTGGCAAAAGTATTAAAACACTACAATACCATCGAGGTGGAGAATACTTGAGTGGTGAGTTCGATGACTATCTTAGAGAGCATGGGATTTTATCCCAACTCACACCTCCTACGACTCCACAATGGAATGGTGTCCCTGAAAGGAGGAATCGAACCTTGCTTGACATAGTTCGTTCTATGATGGGTCATTCGACTCTACCAGAATCATTCTAGGGGTATGCACTGAGCACTACAATATATACTCTTAACCGAGTTCCAACCAAGGCGGTTGAAGGATTACCATACCAGCTATGGACGGGCAAATGCCCGGTTCTGTCACACTTAAAGATTTAGGGCTGTGAGGCTTACGTCAAACGTCTTATGACGAATGGCAAGCTTGACGCCAAGTCTGATAAGTGTTTCTTCGTGGGATACCCCAAGGAAACTCGAGGGTATTCATTCTATCACCCTATCGATAAGAAGGTATTCGTTGCTCGCAATGGTGTCTTCCTCGAGAAGGAATATCTTACCAACGCAACTAGTGGGAGAAAGATAGAGCTCCAAGAAATTCGAGACGACGAAGAAACTACCGCGCCGGTTCAGGAACATGAGCTAGAGGAACAAACCGTTGTACCTCAAAATGCTCAAGATACACAAGAACCCCGTAGGTCTAACCAGTTATACACACAACGTGAAAGGTATCGCTACAAGAAAATTGTCAATCTGCCACGGACAATTTCCGTTGCAGAATTTGAAATTCCGTGGCAGATTTACATTCTGCGACGGACCTGCTACGAAAATTTTCCGTCGCAAAAAAGTTATGAAAGATTGAAAATCTGCGACGGAATTGAAAGTCCGTGGCAGATCTGCGATGGACCTACAACGGGTCTGTCCGTTTTTTGCACCCCAAAAATCTGCGACGAAAGTCCTTAATCCGTCGCAGATTACACTTATTTGCGACGGATAAATAGAATCAGTCACAGATTACGCTTATTTTTCAAGGATTACACTTTCGTCGCTGATTCGTTGCAGATATGCTACAGAAATAAGTCCGTAACAGATTTCCGTTGCAGACCAGACAAATTCTTGTAGCGTATGGATTCCTCCTAACCTTTGAGGGTGACATAATGCTTATCGATTAGGATGAGCCGGAGACCTACCTCGAGGCAATCAGTTGTCCTGAGGCTGAGGAATGGTGTCAAGCCATTTAGTCCGAAATGGATTCCATGTACACCAACCAAGTATGGACTTTGGTTGATGCACCCGAAGGGATCAAACCCATTGGGTGCAAATGGGTCTTCAAAAAGAAGACTGACATGGATGGTAAGGCGCAAACCTTCAAGGCACGATTGGTAGTAAAAGTATATCGTCAAATACATGGTATCTACTATGACGAAACTTTTTCTCCAGTTGTCATGATTAAATCCATTCGGATCTTACTTGCTATTGCGGCATACCATGATTACGAAATCTGGCAGATGGACGTCAAAACGGCTTTCCTTAATGGAAACCTCCTTGAGGATGTCTTTATGACACAACCTGAAAGGTTTTGCGCTCCTGAAGAATCTACCAAGGTATGCAAGTTGCAGCGATCAATCTACGGATTGAAGCAAGCCTCACGGAGTTGGAACATCCGCTTTCACGAAACTGTCATTGGCTTTGGTTTTGAAAGAAATTCGGATGAATCTTGTGTATACAAGAAGGTCAGTGGGAGTGCTGTAGTCTTCCTTGCTCTGTATGTTGATGACATACTGCTCATAGGAAAAGATATTCCTACTTTAACCACCGTCAAAACGTGGTAAAGTAAGAGTTTCTCTATGAAGGACTTGGGAGATGCCACTTATGCACTTGGCATAAGGATCTATAGGGATAGATCACGGAAGCTATTAGGTCTCTGTCAAAGTACATACATAGACAAGGTCCTCGCTAGATTCAGCATGTCTAAATCGAAACGAGGAATTTTGCCTATGGTCCAAGGCACGAGTCTTTCCAAGATTCGGGGTGCTTCCACTCCGGAGGAAGTAGAACGCATGAGAAATGTTCCTTATGCGTTGGCCATTGGATCCATCATGTATGCGATGGTATGTATGAGACCTGATGTCGTCTTTTCTCTAAGTGTCACGAGTAGATACCAGTCCAACCCTGGCGAAAGCCATTGGACGGCTGTGAAGAACATCCTTAAGTACTTCCGTAGGACTAAGGATGCCTTCCTGGTATATGGCGGAAAAGAAGAGCTCAGTATTGTCGGATATACTGATGCCAGCTTCCAAACTGATAGAGACGATTTCAAGTTGCAGGCAGGGTATGTGTTTTGTTTGAATGGCGGAGCTGTTACCTGGAAGAGTTACAAGCAAGATACTACCGCTGATTCCACTACAGAAGCAGAGTACATGGCTGCAGCCGAGGCAGCCAAGGAAGGTGTGTGGCTCAAGAATTTTATTACTGAGCTTAGAGTGGTTCCTAGCATCAAGAACCATATACCGTTGTTTTGCGACAACAATGGGGCAATTGCACAAGCGAAAGAACCTCGGTCTCACCAGAAGACCAAACACATCGTTAGACGTTATCACATCATACGAGAAATCGTTGCACGTGGGGACGTTGAGATTTGCAAGATAGGTACAGACGACAATATCGCGGATTCGTTGACGAAGGCTTTGGGAAAAGCCTAAACACGAGAGTCATACGTGGTCCATGGGCATTCGAGAATCGCTTGATTGGCCTTAGGGCAAGTGGGAGATTGTTGTATTTAGGTGCCCTAGCGGCAATCAAATACCTATGTAACTGTACACTTTATCATGAATGAAAGGCCTTGAAGTATGTTTTATATCTCGTGTAACATAACATAGCTTCAGTCCATAGACGATAGCGCTTCAGTAACATAGATGAGGACTACGATGTTCTGATTATGAGCCTGTTACTTCTTGAAGAAGGCTATGTCTATAATATCCCTAGTCGCACTTTATGATAATACGGACGTCATAACGTATCAAGACTAGTACGTACGAGATGAGATAGTTGCGTCTCATAGACTATAGGTATTGTGATATCTTAATCTGTACGTAGGTGCATATTATATCGATAATATTATATCGATAATATGTGACTGGATTGACCCATCTTGAGAATACTGCATGGATCTACGGTAATGTGTTTATCAGTATTCTCAAATCGACCTTGCTATAACTATCCTCAGACTTGAAGTTATTACATTCTCTGATATGTGGGGCCGTATGCTTTGATTCATAACTAATGCTATCTGAAATACTGGTAGACGTACAGTTATGCGTTGGGTATGCCGCTAAGCATATTTAGATATGTGAATAACAGATATAGGATCTGTCCCTTCTACTGTATAGAAGTATAATGTCAATGGGCCCACTGAATAGTAGGACTTGGGAAAGTGCATGGCCATGCCCAGATATGTCGCTATCCAGAGACTGATAAATATCTGATCCCTACCAGTCTACTTGAGATTCAGTAACAGTTGATTTAACTATACAAGGGTACACATCTCATGCCTTGTGTTAAATCATGACATTTAGGATAGAAGGATAGTAGTTATAGAACGTCTTGTGTCGTAGAAGGTATTGATGAGATGAACGTCTTTTTCATAATCTGGGGGGTAATAATGTGTTGCTAGATACCGCTTATTATCTATGGTATTAATTTATATTAATATCATTGTCAGTGTTATAGATACAGATAGTGGGAGTAATATTAAATATATATAGTTGTGATAATTATATATATATATATGTGTGTGTGTGTGTGTATGTATTTCAAAAACATATGTATTTTAAAATTATATTTTGTTTGTGTCATTTTAATTATATGATAATTATATTTTGACAAAACAAATTTTATTTTATATATATATATATATATATATATTCATCATTTTAATTATATTATAGTTATTGAGGTCAAAATAAAATGTAATATTTTTTTTAGGGTGGCCAAAAATTTCAAAGGGAAAAATACAAGACAAATTTTGATTTTCTACCTAATGATATATTTGATTGACATAATCAAATATTAGGATATTTGTCTTGTTGTGTTGGTTGGGGACATTACACTAATCCTAATTTGTTTTTGTCCCTAACTAATTTCCTAGAAATTCTTTTAAGTGATGTTTTATAAATAAAATGCATCTCTTCCCATTTTGAAACACAAGATTCGGCCATCATAAGTTAGAGAGAAGAAAACATTTATTTTGTGTTCAAAGTTATTTTTCTAAAGTGTTAGAAATATACACAAAATATTATAAAGAAATATTTATAAGATAAATATTTTTTACTATATATTTATTACTCCCCAAAGTAGTATTATTATAGTTTTTACTATCCTAAATTAAACTTGCTAGCACAAGTTTAATCTAGGACTCCGGAGTAAGTTCGTGTGGATACGTTGGAGGCTTCATACGTTTGGTGCTACGTTCATCTCCTCAAAACCATCCCCGACCGTTTCTCCATTCTCCGTTTATCACCGCTAAGGTAAATTTCTTACTACAGCTAGTATTTTACGTAAGTTGTTCTTGGGTGGAATCGAGTTTTGGACTCTAAATTTTTGTTTTCCGCTGCGTTATCCAAGCCTCGTTTCCCAACATTTTGGTTCATACGCAAATAAAGAAGAATCGATGAGACTCTATATAAACTACCGTCATAAATCGTTATCCTTTATCTCGTATCGATGACTTATTTGATTAGCTTAGAGGATCCATTGTGTTTCTCTAAGATTGACTAGCGGTCAGGATACCAACAAATCTCTGTTAAGAAATTCGAACATACGGACGATCAAGAATCGCTACCCTTTACTATGAACTAACGACTTATTCGGTCAAATTTAAATAACTTACTTGTTAGAAGCTATAGACCGCTCAATCTTGTTGAATGAACTAATGCCTTGTTATGAAGCAATTAATAACCTAATTGCTTATCATTGAAAACGTCGATGTAGTCTGATTGAAATAATGAAGTAAAATGAGTGACTCCTTCGTATAACATATTAATGTGAGAGATTGCAACATGGTGACAATACAAAACAAGATGTGAAATAGTGACACCAACAGTGAAAGACCGAAGAATGAAGAAAATGTAGCTTGCATATGGCTAACCATTGATGTTTATGGATAATATTATTTCAACACAAAATACAACTTGGATTACAAATGAGGAAAGTTACAGATGCAATTCTAAGTTTAATCTCTCAGGATTTACAAACTCGTCGTAGCTAGCCCTAGGACCCGGGAAAGCTTTAGCAAAGAAAGATTTTAAACAAGTGAACTCTGTGCCATTGTCACTACGTACAGTTTTCACTTGTTTATTAAAATGTCGTTCAATCAAGGGAAAGAAGTTACGCAAGACAGTGGGAGGTTCATATTTGTGATTCAAGAGATATACCCATCCCATGTTGCCCAAGAGAAATCATCAACAATAGTTAAGAAATATCTAGCCCCAGTGCGAGACGGTGTACGATACCCATCCCATAGATCACAATGAATCAAAGAAAAAGGAGTAACAGATTTATTCAGACTAATTGGAAAAGAGTCACGACATGGTTTTGAACGAAAACACACATCACAAGGGGAATTAGGAATATTGGTATTTTTGGATAATTGAAAAAAAGAGTTGACCATGGTGTAGGAGGGATGACCCAATCGCTTGTGCCAAATGTCCAGATCCTTTGCCTCTTTCACGGTGCAGAATTTGTCCTTCACACCTTTCTTGAGATAATATAGTCCTTCAGCCTGCTCACCCACTCCAATCACCATCTTCGAGATACAATCTTGTATGATACAAATTTTATTATTAAACTTGACAATTAAATTCTTTTTCTCAAGAAGATGTGAGACAGATATAAGGTTACAGTTGAGTTGAGGAACTAGCAAAACATTTTCTAAGGTTATCCAATTATTCACAATCACATTCCCCTTTTGGTTGGCTATCGCACAATCTCCATTTGGTAGACCAACAGAATAAGGTTTTATTGCTTCCAAGTTTTCAAGACACTTTTCATCGCCGGTCATATGCTGACTGGCTCCACTATCAATGATCCAAGAAGTATTAGTTATGCCGTTTTGTTTGCAGTTTGCAAGTTCTTTCTTTAGTTGATGAATTCATGGATTGTTTGCAACAGAAAAACGATCTTGGATGTCTTTCCATAGTTCTGCTGCTTCTTCTACCTGTGTGATGGAGTTTCTCAGGCTACCATCAATGGTATTGTAAATCCATGAGACCAATATGGCATTTACAATCCACCATTCTTCATAGTTTTCATCTCCATCTTCTAGACAAGGGATGGATCCATCAATAAATTCAATTTTCCGTTTTGCACGGAATGCAATTCTCATTGCACGAGCTCATTCTTCATAATTATCACCGTTTAATTTGACTTGGAAAATCCGGGTGTATCAGCGTTCTTGAGTTCATAAGAAATCCCTTTCGTAGGGATCTTCTCTTCATCATCAAAGATCTTTCCGATGAGATTTTTCTCAGCATCTTCCATGTCGACGGTCGACGAAGATGGTCCGGCGGTCGATGTCGGTGAACCGGCAGAGGACTAGTTTGATCCGGCGGCTGACAGCGATGGACCGTCGTTCGTCTAGATTAGGGTTTTTCCTAGGAATCTTGCTCTGATACCATGTAGAAATTAATAAGGAAGAAAATATTCTGTATATTGAATTGTTCTAGCCTTCTAGGTAATTACAAAGGGTCTCTCCTTTATTTATAGGAGAGGATAATTCCAAAATAGAAAAAGAATACAAATCCTACCAAGAAACAAATCACTAATCAAAAACTAGGAAGTAAATCAAGAAGAATCCATATAAGAGTGGGATTTGGTTAGTCTTGCCGTGGGGTCCAAGTAACACACGGTAAATAGTTTACAAATGTGGAATTCCTCTGAGCAGTCGTGTCTTTAAAGTTTTAACATAAAATATCACATTTCTACAACTATTCATGTGAAATTTTCTTTCCTAAAAACTTTGAATAGAACTTGAACAAATTTCAGTATTAAGAGAAGAAATCTCTACAAGAGTTCTATCAAGTGCAATCTCATCTTTAAGTATAGCAGTATGAGACACCCCATGGTTCTTGATCACCTTAATGAGTTGATCTTCCTTGCCACCCCACGCCGATTCTAATGCCAACAGGCTTACCAGGTTCACCGTCCCATCGCCATCCCCATACTTGATCTCCGGGGACTTGTCAAAGTCCGAGTCTTTGTATATCAATTCCTCCGCCGTTTTCACCCCACTGCCAATGATTAACGTCACTGGGACATTGGGTGCTGGAAAACTCTCCACCAAAGGCAAAACACGCGTCTCGTAAGGACGAACTCCTTCGGGAAACCCAATGTCTTGGAGGAACCTCGCGATATCAGAACTTGAATACTTGGCTTTGGGCGTGACCACCAATGGCTTGGTCACGTCGAACACTTTAGGTGAGGGCAAAAGCCACATGTTACTTGAACTACTCCTTTGTTCTTCCCTTACAAGTAACGGGTCGACTAAGGGGACTCCTAGTGTATTCCCTGACGCGAATGTCAGCATTCTGTCTACTGTTCCGCCCCACGGAGCAGACAATGCGACCAAGTGCTTGATGTACTATTTGCGCCAGGGGATTGAGGTCCGGTTCAGCAGCTGCAGGGCGAATAGGCCTCCCAATCTATGCGTGAGAAGGATAACCGGTTTGCCTCCGTTCGAATTGCTGGATGATTCTATGAGGTTTTTGAGGTCTGATAGAAACTTTGAGGCCACAAACGAGGGGTGATCTCCAGCAGCTAGTCCATACCGGAAGTCGTATGGGGCGCCGAAGAGGTTCTTGCCATCTATGTACCCTATCTTTCCTAGAGAATTTACCAAAGGTTCCATGTATGATGTGATTTTCTTGCAAATTAGAAGCAAGCATAGTCATACCAAGTATGAAATGTAATTGATTGATGAACCGTAGAAAAATAGCATAGACCATATCTAAGTGTATATACATTATTTTTGAGGGTAAAGGGTCCAAAATGACCCTTTATCTTTTTCCATTTGTAAAAATAGATCTACTCATCTACATGCTGATTTTTTGCGAGATGAAGGCCCTCTAACTTTTTCAGGTTGCAAAGTAACACTAACTAAGTTTGGATGGGGAACAAAATGAGAGAAGAAAATGTAGAAAAACGAAGAGAAAAAAAGTTGTTTGGATGGATAAAAAACGAAGAAAATACCATATACGAAGTACATTTATTTAAGAGAGGGGGTGGTAATTTTATACCAATTTATTGGTGTAAGGTAGTTACACCAAGATAATTGGAGAACGTACGGTGCTCTGATCGTAAAATTGATTGTTGCTATCCCCTACTAACCCCCGGTAAACCCCCTAGCCCGCCCTGTCCCTAACGCACACTAGCACCCCTCTAATTTCATTTTACCAAATTTTGGTAAAATAATGACCTGAAAGTCAATAAAATTTGTTGTAATGAAATTGGCCGGGGTGCTGGGGTACCGTTCGGGCAGGGACAAGGCCAAGTGAGAGCAAATGACTGCAATTCCCAACTTGATTTTTTAATACTATATACTGCTCCATATCGAATAAGAAGAAGAGCAAGAAAAGAAGATGAAGATGAAGAAGTCTCTACGACAAATTCTCTACTTGTGACATTTGCCAAGTATGCTTTTTATTTATTTATTTATTTCTATCAATATATGTTATTGTAAACCAATTGACATCCTGGGGGGCTATGATCATAAACAATGACATATGGACATCTCATACTCTTCGAGAAGGAAACCAGCCTGCGGACTTGTTGGCTAAAGAAGACGCAACCAAAGGATATAATTTCATTGAATATTGTAATTTTTGTGATTGTTCTTCTTCTGTAAAGGCCTCTCTCTATAATGAGAGTGTCCCCTCCTTTCGATTCCATTAATAAAATTCCCTAATTTCAATAAAAAATGTTATTGTAAACTATGTGTATGACAAAATACTTGTGAGACTTATTTTTATTTAAATGTCTCCGGTAACTACTAGACACGGATATCTTTCTCTATTTTGCACCCTCTACTGTTGGATCATGGATCCGCCACTGCGTTCGGGACAATGCGGTCTTGGGGGTTTATCGGGGTTAAGGGTAGAAACGACCAATTACACCATATGTGCTCCAATTGAATTGGTTTAAGAATCTTACACAAATAAATTGTGTAAAATTACTCCTCATTTAATAATAGCTCAAATGCTAAAAATGATTGTCAGCAAATAGGAATGATCAACTATTCGGTATGGGTTGTGAGGGTATCGCGTTATACCCCGGATCGGAGTAGTATTTACAATCAAGAAATTAGCCAATAAAAAGGAAATTCTAAGAGTAGAGATCTGACTGACTGACTCACTTGAGGTTGGGATTCAAATAAAGCAGGGATTCAGTTGACCCAAAATGAGGGATTCTAGTCTCAACACCAGGGGCATTGTGGTAATCACCCGTCTCTGGATCATAAATAGTCATCATCCTCTCGTTGAAGCACTTGGTGAAGGGTCCGAACAGCACGGTCGGGTCGAACCACAGCCTGAACCACCCACCCGCGTCCTTCTTCGGAGGGTACCACCGGTTGCACAGCAAGCTTGAGGATCTGTACTTCGGCGTCAGCCGGGCTTCCAGCTGGTTGCTGCCGCTTCCGGGTATTAGAACCACCGGGTACTGATGATGACTTACAGCTTCCACTGTTGAGAAAACCAGAGCCATTGCCGCCATTTTCACGTTCATGGGTTGGGGAGTGTAAGAGAAGGAAATATAGGTTTTAGATCGATTTGAATTTTGTGGGTGGGTTATGATGAATGGATAATTGCGGCTCTGTATTCGGATTATGTGGTGAGAAAATGGTCAATCGCGCCTACATGGCCTTTTTTCAGTCACTAGTTTCTTCAGTCTTGTGCAGTAGGGAGACGCGATGTTAGGGTACGGTTACGGTTCCGGTTACGGTACGGTTACGGCAGGGTGAGCAGAGGGCATCAGTACCGGAATACGGGGCCACACTATACTAGTTATGGTTCGGTATAGGGTGGACACGGTACGGTTCCGGTTCCAGAACCGCCGGTTCCGGTACCACCACCCCTTGATACCGTTACCGTACTGAATGGTAGTGGTGCCGGTACCCGTACCGGCAGTTCCGGTACCGTACCGGCCAGTTTCGGCAATTCCCCTTTTTTTTTAAATTTTTAAAAGTGTAAATGTATAATTATTAAAGGAAATAATGAAATAAAAGATCTAAAAATGTAGTTGTTATTTAAATATTGTAAAATGAATAATACACGAACAACTACATTTAATATCTTGACGGTTCAAAAAAAGCGACGAGGTAAAGAATCGTAAAGAAACTCTTGAATTAGCTTATATATCGCTCACTTAAAAAAAACTACATATTTACATTAACATAAAAAAAAAGTTTATAAACTTATTCCTCAGAACTAAGGCTTCCATCTGTGGTTGCATTTATGTAATGTTCAGAATTGAATTCGTACCCTGACTCTTGAGCTCGACGTCTCGCCAAGAGCCAATCTCGGTTGCAAACAAGTTTTTCAAGATATTCAACGCTAAGACAACTTCGGTAGTCGGTTAGAATGTTGCCGCTAGAACTAAATTCTTGTTCCACAGCTACGGTTGATACCAGGACGAATAAAACTTGTCTCGCTAGCATTCCGAGACATGGGAACATGTGCTCGTTCTGCTTCCGCCATGCGAGGACGTCAAACTCTGCATCGTCGTCGTCGTCGTAATTGCATGGCACCCCTTGGTGCATAGCAAGTTCGTTGTGCGAGCTTACAGTTGTACCATCCACCTGAACTCGTCGAAGGCTGACCACACTTTCCTTTTTGCCAAAAGCCCACCGACTATTCCTTTAAAACATTTTTTTTGATTTGGGGGCGGAGGAGGTGCTGTTTCTTCCGATACATTACCGTATACTCCTTGAAATTCTTTAAATAAAGCCTCAAAAAGATTAACAACATTATCTCTTTCTTTTGTGCATTCTATTAAATGAATGTGATAATAATGATTCTCATTTAAAAAAACAAGTGTAGTAATAGTCAATCAGAATTTTAAAATTTTCACTCTTAAAGCGAGGATCACAAATAATACCAATTTTATAAATATCAGGAATGTACAAATAATAAGCACACCATTTATCCCTCATAGGAGAGACATGTGAGTACAACTCTGGATTAGCTAAATAAACTTTCACGAAAACAAGTTGCAATTCTAACACATCTTTAAAAAACCTATTTCTCGTTGGTTGGCAAACATGCAAGAAAGTAAGAGTTACGTTATTAAAAACTTCTAATACGGCATTCAATTTTTCAACAATAACAAATTGATTCAATGAAATCATAAAACTAAGTTCATTCCTAAGAAATGCAGCAAGTTCCTCTTTGTAGCTTAGAATCTGTACTATCAACTTGTATGTACTATTTCATCTAATGGTGATATCTTTAGCAAATGTTATTGGTCTTCTATCCCTAGATTTACATAATGACTTCGAGGCTTTTGTATGAATACGACTACCCCAAATTTTTTTAATTCCATTTCTAATATTCGTCAAACCCCCCCACAGCTTCTAATCCTTGTTGAACACATAAATTTAAAACATGACAAGCACATTCTTGATGCAGAAATTTACCCATACTCGTAGTAGGGGGCAAATTTCTTTAGGTCTAAGAATAGCAGCATTGTTATTAGTAGCATTATCAAAACCAAATGCAAACAATTTATTAACTAAATTGTATTCTTGCAAAATATGCACAAGTAATAGAAAAATATTTTTAGTAGTATGAGAGTCATTGAAATCACAAAATGCAAGAACACGTTTATGCATAATCCAATCACTATCTATCCAATGACAAGTAACATCCATCTAAGACAAATTATGATATGTTTCACTCCAAATATCAGAACAAATAATAACAAGGGAATTAAAATTGAGAAAAAATTTGCCAATTTCATTTTTTCAACTTTATATTGTCAAATAATTTCTCGCTTAATTGTTTTTCTTGAAAAACCTCTTGCTTGAGGTTTTCAAAAAACATGTATGGAAAATTTTCTTCACAAATCATTTCGGCCATTTTTTGCTTATTTTGCTCATTGCTATAAGCAAAAAGGCCGCTCTTACCCCTGTTACCAAACCGAGAAATTTGGGTTTGCACTTCTTGTCGTCCCTTCTTTTTCGCCGCGTATTTGGCGTACTCCACAGGGTGCCTCGCCCTTAGGTATTTTTCCGGACCACCATAACCGCTGGAAATTCCCATTTTAATGACGGTGCCACAATAATTACAAGTTCCAACAACTTCGCCATGTTTTGTTTCTTTTGAAAAATGATAAACAAATAAATCGGATTTTAATTTTATTACCTTTCCCTGGACCTAGAGAGGTCTCGGGCTCACCTGCTTCCTCGTCGGCGTCGGTAGGATTGTTGCTCTGGGGTGTAGGCTCCACGTCCATTTCTGCTTCATCAATGTCCTTGAATATATCTTCAAGAGTAGGAAGATTGGCGTCGGTTCTACCTCCCAAATATTGTTCGAATTCTTGATCCGTCATAGCGTCACCCACGATTTGATCAAGGATAGTAGGGAAGGGAGAGACGGAGTGTCTTCCTAGAGAACCACGTGAGCTCGAACCGTTGGAGGTGACTCTAGCTTTGCCTTTCCTCGAACTTTGGTTCACAATGCCCATATCCACGGACCTTCTACTGGACTCTCTTGACATTTTAATATATTTTTATTTTGATAAAAAAGGACTATATTAAATATTTAAAATATTAAATATATATTGAATATAAAATATATGAGTATATATTTATATATTATATAATATACTAATATACTCCGTATATAATAGGGATTAATAGAGAATTAGAGAGGAAATGAAGAATAGATTGAGAAATGAGAGTTTGAGAATGGTGTGATTTTGTATATTTATAGTGTATATTAATAGTCCCCCACTCCCCCCTAGCCCCAACCCCCCCTCCCCTCAACGGTATTCTAGCCGTTTGAGGGGTCCCCCCACTAATTATTTCTTTTTTTTGCAGGTGAGCAGGTCTGTCACACATTAAAGGAAAAAAAGTAAAAATGGGTACCGGAACCGGTACCAGTACCGCCGGTGCCGGTACCGATAAACTGTCACCGGAACCGGTACCGTGGGTGGCGGTGCCAGTACCGGTTCCCTGGAACCGTAGCAACGGGACGGTCGGCGGTGACGGTAGGGGTACCGGCGGTACCGTCGCCGGTAACGGTACCGTACCGGTATAGTGTCCAGCCCAATTGGCCCGTGGAGGTTTTGGAACGCTGAGTGACGATACACTATAGTTGGGTCGGGTTGCAATGATACATGTCCACAACAGTTGCGCAGCCGAAGGTGGCAATTTGTACGAATCTGGCTGAGAATCATGCGTGATTTAGTTACTTTATTTATCACCTACCTCAAATGTATTATGTAATTATTATAAGTAGAGGAGGATCCCATCGGAACCCTCAAGCTAAACCTAGTGATCTAATAGCATAAGTTATATATTCTCATGCTCTAGATATTCATTCTCAATAATCCACTTCGGTCCTAGAGTCGAATGATCAGGTGGAATTCTTTTCCATCACTCCGTATATCTTATACTCCGTATTTATTCTACTTCTTGAAAAAATGTATATTATCAAAATTTTTACAAATAATATTGTTATAAAATTTTAAATGTATTTTGTCATAATATACCATAGTGACACAGATGCACAGATGAAATTTATAAATTTTTATATATTAATTTTTTAATATCCATAAGTGAAGACTTATTTTAGACCACATAATTTTTTTTTGTTTTTTTAAAATTATACATTTTTTATTAAGTTATTTTATCTAAAATAAAAATAAAAAATATCATATATGGTAGTTAAACAAAAATATGTATATTAAGCATACCATATAAATTATAACAAATACTTCGTAAAAATAATTACTCTTGAGCCACTCGTAAGTAAATGGAAAGGAAGTGACATGGGGCATTTTGCAAACTTTTAAAACTTAAGTGAGCGTGTAAACTTGTGTAGCATTAATAGCTAGACCTTAGAAAAGAGAAACATAACCGATTATCTGAATCGAATTATCTGAAACTGAAATGATCTGAAAAATGAAGATTCGATCTATAACAGAAAATCCGAAATGATCTGAACCAAATCGAAACCAAACTAAATAATTCATATCTGACATAAATCCGAACCAAATCGAAACCAATCATATCCCCTGAATGTTAAATGTGAATGGAATTGAGAATGAGCAGAATGGTGGCGTAAGAAAGTGATAAAATTAAAGAAGGAAAGTGAAGAGGAATGGGGAAAAACTTTAGGGAAAGATTAGACATGAAAAATCAAGTCTTTGATTTTAAAGGATGTTAAAAATATAGTACTAATTTCAGTTTTAAGTTATAAAATCTAATTAAAATAATTTTATTTTAAAAAAACTTCTCCCCATCTCAAAAAGAATGCTAGATAACGCAAAACAGTGCAAATTTTTAAGTTTTTTAATATTATTTTATTTAAACTTTAAAAATTGGTATAGAAAAAAAAGTTTACATATTTAAAGAAATACTTGAAAAGTTTTGCAAAATAAGAGGTTACAAGAATAATAGTTTATTTTATCAAATAGTCAATGAAAACGCACAAATAAATAATTTTTTTGTAATTTTTAAATAGTGAAGTGTGATATTTTTTGGGACAGAAGGATTATATGATGAATTCAAAATTATATGGAAAACTAAATTTTTTTCATTCAATTACAATAAATTTATTGGATTGGGAGTTAATTTGATTCGTTTCAAACCAATTCACTCGATATTACTCAAAAATATTAGTGGTGAGCATTATCGTTTTGAAAAAGTTTTCTAGCGACAGTGTTTAGTGTTATCATTTTCAAATTTGATCTACACCATTAAATTTAAGTGTAAAATTAATTATTTTTTACTCTATGAAATTTAATTTTTTATAATTTCAAAAAATACACTCTGATAATTTATAAATTTTGCACTCAATTGTATCAATCTCATTCAAATCTTTAGGATTAATATTATTAACATTCACTTAATTTTACCTAATTTCACTCAATTCTTACCAAATTGTATTGAATTGGAGCGTAACGATATATGAATCTATATTTTTTCATTGCGTTTAGAAACATAGAGATATTAGTAGATGTGATAAAAATTTGATATATCAAAACTAAATTTTAAAATTAATTTAGTTATATTAAATTTATATCATTATTCAATACTCCGTATATAGTTCTCATAACTTGTAGTCCAAATTTGTAAAATATGACTCAAAATTCAAAAAAGAAAGATTATTTAGGGTGGAGATAGTATAATTAGAAAAAATATACTCCCTCCGGCCCTAAATATATCTCACATTTGCTTTTTCATGAGTCACGGGAACTTTTGTTTCTTTCTATTTTTTCATTGGTTATTTGATAAAATAAAATATTCTTGACACCTCTTATTTCGAAAAACTTTATTCTCATGTGGTTTTTTGATATGTAAATTTTATTTTTTATTTCTATACCAATATGTAAATAAAATGAATTGAAAAACTTGATATTTTACATCGGTAATAGAAATGTGAGATATATTTAGGGACGGAGGGAGTAAAATAATATGAGGTGTATATATCCAAAATAAATGATAACACTAAAAAAATAAACATGGATAATTAAATTTTAATTAGAAAATAATATGATAACACTAAAATATCATATTTTAATTAATATATGATAGACTGATAAATGTGATAACACTAAAAAAAATAAACATGGATAATTAAATTTTAATTAGAAAATAATATATATCCAAAATATATTCAATCGAAATATATCTGAATTGAAACATATCTGAAACCAAAATATAGCCGAACCGAACTAGGTCTAAAACCAAAATATATTCGATCCAGATTGTATCCGAACTGAAATCTATCCGAACCAATTTTTATTTGAACCGTATTTGAACCGACTTGAAACTGAACCGAAACTGAAAAATGTATAGAACCAAATCAAAACCAAACTTCAATTAAACCAATCCAAACCGAACCGAACTAAACTGATTATAACATATATCCGAAAGATATCCGAACCGAAAAAATCCAATACGGACACGATCCGGTTGACCCAATTACCACCTCTCTTAGGGGCAAGGTTCCCATGACATTGCCCGGCAATGTCATGGGATGACCCGGGGGTGCTCCGGTGTCTCGTTCGTAAAATTGACGGTTCCTACCCCCCTAACCCCCCCTCCCCACCCCGATAAACCCCACCTACCCTGCCCCGACCCGAACACACCCCCCACCCCTTCAATTGCACCCCACAAATTGATTTTGACTTTGGAGCCAAATTTTGACTTCAAAGTAAAAATCAACTTGTGGGGTGCAATTGAAGGGGGTGGGGGGTGTTCGGGTCAGGACGGGGTGGGGGGGGTTTACCGGGGGGTTACGGGGGTAGGAACCGTCAATTTTACGAACGGGACACTGAAGCGCCCCCGAGTCATCCCATGACATTGTCGGGCAATAACATGGGAACCTTGGTGCCTCTATTAATAGCTTGTTTGGATGAAGGAAAAAATGAGAGGAAAGTATTTGTGAGTAACAAAATAAGAAACAATTATCCAGAATATAATACCAGTTACTTTAATAAGGTCTTTACATGTTCTTTAAAAAATAATTATACCTTCCACTGTAATGCATAATAACCCAATTTCGCTAACGACTCATTGATAGAAATGGCATGTTTTGCACAACCGAATAAAAGTTAGAATTATTTTGTATGAATTTTTATTTTTATTTTCTAATAATATTTTTGAAATATTTTCCATAAATTTTTAAAGAGAGATTTTCTTTGATAAGTATAGAAACTTATAAAAATACCAAAATAGAAGTCCTAAGTATTTTAAGATCAAAATAAGAGGTCAGATTATTATTGTTACACTGCCACAATACACTCACCATATTTTCACACTGCGACTTCCGTACTATCACTTCCTCACGTGCATCCATCGTCTCCAGCCACCAAACTACCGTCACTGATTGCAGATTGTTGAATGATCAAACTTCCATGTTACATTATCATCATTTCCCATCACACTACCTACGCGTACACTTACAATAACACACTCTCATTATATTTCAATTTTGTTCTTAAAAGACTTAAGATTCCTGTTTTGGTATTTTCATACTTTTTACTCTTATCTAGGGAAATGTTTTATTTAAAAAATACTTTCTACCTACATTGTTTCTTTTTCCTTTTTAAAAGATTAGTCTTACCTCAGAAAAATGAAAAAAAATAGATATAAAAAATAATGAAAATGAGAAAAACAACTACAATCATACAAAACTAAAGCAATGAAAGTATCAATAATCCATAAAAACTAGAGTAATTTACCTAAATAGGACTAAAACATAATGACTTTCTCAATATAGGATCATATATTTTTATTTCCCAATATAGAACCTTTGGTCATTATTAATTAGTCATTATTCAAATAAATGTCCTACCTCCATCACTGGATATTATTTCTTCCCCTAGACATTATTAAATCCTATTTAGGAAATAAAAACTTTTAAGTCCTATATTGGGAAATGACTTATGTTTTAGTCCTATTTAGTACAAATTTTTCTAAACACTAACCTCAAACTGGTAAGAAATACAAATATAAGCAATGGTGGGTTCTAACATTTTACGCACTATAAGAAGTATTAATGTACTATTTCTTAAAAATGAAAATACGAAAAATAAGAAAGAAAGAAATTATCTTCTTATTAAAACCCTAAAGAATTAAAAAATTTATTTCTAAGAAATAAATAAAATGAAATTACATTGAAGAAAGAAAGCAATTTTTTGATTTCTTATTTGTTACTTTTATCTCTTTTATTTAGGGTGTTAATAAAAAATTAATATTTTTTCTTGTTTTTTATTCTTTTTTTAGTTTTTACCAACGGGAAGAAGTAATACATCAATACTCCTAGTGCCTGAAACGTTAGTTTTTATTGATGTTAGTTTTTATTGATTATCTTTTCATTTCTTTAATTTTGTATGATTTTTGTTATTTTACTCATTTTCTGTATTTTCTATATCTATTTTTTTAAAGAAGAAAAAAATTATGGAGTTAGAGAGTCATTTTTAAAATTTATGTAAAAAGTTCAAAAAAAATTGAAACTAATTTTTATATAAAAAATAATTTCAGCTTTCATTTTGTTGTGCAAAACAAGTTATTTCCGTTAATTACCCGTTACCTTTAACACAACTCAAAACTACTCCCTCCGTCCCCAATTTGATTACAAATTGCGGGTTACGGAGTAAAAATTTTAATTTTTGAAATCATTTTATTTACAAATTGGTATATCAATAAGATATAAAAATTACATATTAAAAAACTACGTCAAAAGTTCTACAAAACAAGAAGTGACAAGAATATTTTATTTTATCAAATAATCGCGTAAACAAACAAAAGTTATCGAGAGGAGAGAAAAAAAATTGTAATCTATTTAGGGACGGAGGGAGTATAAACTTGAAATTATTCTCTTTGATAATTTTTCCAAAAAAATAATACGGTGTATTTTCAAGTAACTAAACTTCCCATCCACAACCGGCGACGACCCAACAATGGATCGATCCCACTAACTTCTAACTTCCACGTAGAGTCCGGCCATGCCATAATCATGCAGCACCCACCCACCAACCCACGTTCACGCCCTCTATTTATTCTTCCCATCGAGCCACACAACACAACACACTTCAATTCAATTCATCACTTCGTCATTTCAGATATAGAGATCGCATATACAGTCTCAATTATAGAATTATTGCAGCTGAAATATTTTTGGTGTTTATTAAAAAAAAACAGCACAAGATAGAAATGAAGAAGGTTACTAATCATCATCGTCGTCGTGGCGGCATCCCCGCCGCCCTCTTCATCATGATGGCATTCTATTGCTCTACTCTTGCGTCAATTGTCGTCGCCGGTGAAGAATTTGTGGTCGGTGGCGCAAAGGGGTGGCGCCGCCCCGACCAAAACCATACCGAGATGTACCTCCACTGGTCTTCCAACCGCAGGTTTCACGTCGGCGATTCCATCCGTAAGTTACCCCATTATTTCTTCATTCATCAAATTGAGTATTGATATATAAATTGCATGAAAATATGACGGCGTTTAATTTATTTATCATGGCCTGCCGCCAGGTTTCGAGTACAAGAATGACAGCGTGATGGAGGTGGACAAATGGGGTTACTACCACTGCGACGCAACCAACCCCATCTCGGCGGCGGACGACGGCAACACCACCGTCTATCTGGACAGGAGCGGCCCCTTCTACTTCACTAGCGGCAACTACGACCACTGCAAGGACGGGCAGCGTCTCCAAGTGGGGGTCCTCCCGTTGCATGATCAATATGCTCCGCCGCCGGCCATGTCGCCTTTCTCGTCGCCGACCTCACATTCCGGCGGCGCTTTTCTTCCCTCGCCCGCATCCTTCTCGGTGTTCGTTTTCGCTCTCATCAGCGCCGCCGCCGCCGCCGCCGCCGCCGCCGCCGCCGCCGCCACCCGTATCGCTTAATTAATGCATTTTCCAGCCAGCATGTCATCGTGCAATAATATTGTTTAATTTCGATCGTCTTGATGTTTTTTTTTTCATTACACAATTTTATTTCATATTATATCGGCTACGTAGCTAGACGTTTATACGATTCATGTTTTTTCTAGTCGTGCATGTCTTTCTGTTATGATACGCCATGTTTTATTTGTTGGCTGGGAAAATATTTACTATTATATGCTTCAAATAATATTTTGAGTTGTGATTGTTATGCATTGAAAACTTACAGAGTACTAGCTAGTAATTTAAATGCATTGATTTTCATCACATTGTTTATCTTCTTCGATTCTCATTCATGTCCACAATTTTGTAAATTATTAATTTAAAATCCAATCATAATTATATAACTAGACACAGTAAAATTATATGTTGAAAATATTTTACAAGATAGATCTATAAAAAATTTTATTGTATAAATATCTAATTTGAATTTTACTTAATTAATGGTAAAAATTTATTAATTTTAATTACAAAAAGTCAAAAATGAACAAATAATCTACGTCGTCACAAAGATACCAAAAAAATATTATTAATACGTAGTACAAAAATACCTCAAATATTGATTAAAAAATGAATTATTTTCATCATAAAATCTCTTCAACGATATAATAAATCATTAGCTTGTTACGATATTAAGAGAAATGTATTTTGCCAGTGAGTTTTCAAAAATATACTTGGATGTGATGAATAAAAGTAAAATTTAATAGAGAGATTAATAGTGAATAAATATGATGTGATAGGTAGGTTAAGAATTAGTATAGACAAAAAGTAACTTTTTAATAAAAATGAGAATGAAAAAAAAATTGGGACAGATGAAAAAAAGAAAGGTTTTTTTTGTACGGATGGAGTGCTAATAATGTTCTTCCAAAAAAATTAATAATACTAATGTAATTACTCTAAAATAAAAATGGGAAATACATTCCGGGGGAGATGTATTCCACGTAGAAGATTGAGTTATCGCTCTACAAGCAAGCGTATGAACGATACTATTAGCTTCCCGAGGAATATGAGAAACCAAGGCCGAATGAAACTGGGCTAAAATAGCCTTACAATATTTTATTAGAGTTCCAAGGTAAGAATAAACCTGGATATTTCTTTCACGAAGAGCTTCCACAACCCGACTACAATCCGTAAGGAGCTCCATGTCTTGGATCCCGTTAGCTTTAGCCCAGGTAAGAGCTTCTCGACATGCCATAGCCTCTGCCATCACTGCGGTTCTAAAGGACATTGCATCATTCCATTTATAGCAGCATAGAAGGAACCTCCCTAATTAAAGATAACGCTCCCAAAAGCGACCTCTTTAGAGGAACGGAATATGGCTGCATCCACATAACATCGAAAGGCCCTGTGCTCTGATCTCGAGGAAACTTGCATCAAAACTATATCTAAGATAAAGTTAATAATATTGAATGTATATTATAATTCAATATACATTTCTTGAATGGAAAGGGTCTAAGGGCGCAAGGAGAGGGATAGGCCCATCTTAAAATTTGTAACCATAGGGCCCCAAAGATCCAAAGTTTTGAGGGAGAAAGACCAAAGTAGGACTAAAACTTTGAAAATATACCAAAATAGGACTTCCATGTTTTTATTCCCGAAATAGGACTTACATTACGAACCATGGTCATATACATTACCAAAAAAGCATAGTAATTTGCACATGTACACTGCCACATTACCACAATGCAAGGTCACATTATCACAGTGCAAAGTTCTATTCCGGGAAAAAAAACATGAAAGTCCTATTTTGGTACTTTTATCTATGTTTTAGTCCTATTTAGGATGATTTTTAAAGTCTTGAACCTGCAAAGTGTCCTCTTGAAATAGTCCATATTTTTTAAGAGTAAATAAACTAGAAAAAATATGGTATACTCAATTCGTATTTGAATAGTACCATCATTAACAATAAAGTCATACGAAGTACTTAATTTTCTTGGATCTTCTAATTTTTGTGCGTACTCTCTTGCTGCTGTTGCTTATGGGCAAACTTCTATTATGTATTGGATTCTTCCTCTCCTGACTTTGTTCATCCTCAAATTTAATTCAGTTTGTTTTTTTTCAAAATATATATATAAGGACTATGATAAAGAATCCTACTTATCCCCTAATTTCTATTATCTCTATGCAAACTGATTGTTGTTAACAAAAAACAAATTGGAGCATAGATATTAAAAAAAGCCAGCAGAATTGGTTTTCTGATGATAACCGCTAGAAGTAGAGACGAAGATTTTCGTTCCATGGCGAACGAACTTGAGAGTGTGTTGGCTGAGGTTTTTCGAGAAGAGAGTTGACGATTAAAGCGACGACACCAAGTACCTTTTTTGTGCTTGTGGGACATTTTCTGCTTCTTTATTGTTTTCCATGCTCTCGAACTCTTGAAATAAAACACAAACAAATGTATTTTTCTAATTTTTCGATCACGCTATAAATATCTTTTTTGGAGAGAGAGGGGATATGGGACGACGATTGTTAAGCGCGATCATAATTTTTTTAGAGAGAAAAAAGGGATAAGTGACGACAAGGCCATAACCTATGGCGGTCGACTGCCGACAATGATGACCAGCAGTGATGCACGGTTGAAAGAAAGAGCTGGGTCTTTCTTCAAGAGCGAGACCTTAGCTATCCTTTAATGCAATTCGATAATAATTGGTCCTACAGAATGATGAAGGTTTCATCTCAATACATATATAGAGATTACAAGAGAATATCTTAATCATAGAATAATATTTATAGAAGAAACAATTGAATATGAAAAGCAATAAATAATAATCATATATTCTTTTTTAACCCGATAGAAATTCTTTGCTAGAAAGACATAGATCGAGCAAGTTCCAGGGCATTGTGTGGCTTCATCTAGCCAGTAGGCATTTGCTCCAAATTTGGCTGTGTTCTTTACGCCTGATCCGATTAAATCTAATTCGAATTTTTGAAGATCTGATTTGATTGGATCTAATCTGACTGATTGGATCTGATCTGATCTAAGTAGATCTAGTCTGATTTGATTGGATCTAATTCAACCTAATATAATCTGATTGAATCTGATCTGATTGGATCTCATCTGGTCTGATTAGATCTGATTTTGTCTAATTAGGTCTGGTGTAAATGAATTTAAGTTTGATTTAAATTAAACTTAAAATTATTACAAAATTTAATATTTTTAAAATATTACAATTCAAATATACATACAAAAGTAATTAAAATTATAAAATCAGCTAATCATTAATATATTTAAACTATTTTTGAAATATTAAACATCCTTTCAATACCACTACTTTTTTAATCTTTGTGAAAAATAAATAATCGATATTAAAATAACCAAATATTAGAAAATATGAATGCTATTCAACAAAAATATTACATTCTTTATGCATATTACATAATAATATATTTCATGTTACAAATTAAAGATCATATAAAATCTTAAACACTTATATTCCTTTCACCTCTATCAATTTTGTCATAAACTCACCCTTGTATATATTATGACATTTTAAAGTTTAAAAGTAAGTCTTTTTAAGTATAAAATATTTATGATTTTGAAGAAAAAAATTAAAATTATTTTATAAAGTATTTTAAAACAACACTTTTTAAAGTATGAAAAATTCAACTTTTTAAGCTTTAACATTGCTTCCATGCTTCATTTCTACATGCTAAGCAGTTATTAAAAATAATGATTTGTAGTTTAAATACAATAAGAATAATAATATTAATATTAAAAAGTATAATATTAATTAAGATTTAGTTTTGTGTACCTTTAAATAAAGTAATGTAATTTAATTAAATAATAGTAAATATTATTTAATCCTTGAAAAATATAAATATTATTTTTTATATTTTTCCAGGTTTGATATTATTTGATTTGATCTGGTCTGATCTGATTGGATCTAGCTTCAACTGATTGCATCTGATCTAATCTGATTGCATCTAATCTGATATGATTGGATCTAATCCGATCTGATTAAATCTGATCTGATCTTATTGGATCTAATCTGATATGATTGGGTCTGATCTGATATGATTGGTGTTCGAATGCATGAGTTCAACCCTTTCTGTGTTATTAAGTGTTGACTCACTGGTTTTGATAATTCACAAACAGAATTTACTCAAGTCAAAATCAAAGTGCTACAACGACACACACAAAGACTTGAAGTGTCATTCCTTGAAGTATTCAAGAAGGTGCATAGGATTTTATTGAAGTCCGAGACGCGTTCGGAGCGCCTAACGGAGGACTCGGAGGAGTAGAAGATTTCCGAAGACTTTTTATTTATTTGAGTCTTAGGAATTATTGTAAGGATGACAAAGTTAATCTTCTCTCCAAAATTATTTTTATGAGAGTTAAAATAAAAATTATATGTATTTTTGGAGTCAGTTGAAAAATCTTTTTAACTGTTCAAAACATTTTTATTGAGTCAGTTACAAAAGGTGTGTCAAACATTTATCAAAATATATATTTTGATATTAGAAAATATTTTTGGTAAGCAAAAATATTTTATTCAAATATTTTTCGTATACATCGTTTGACACACAAAATATTTTTGGGCCTCTATTTCTACAGCAAAAATTCATTTTCATAATTCAAATTTGAATTTGAATTATTTTACTTGTTTTGGGAGCCTTCTCCCCTGATTCCTTTATCCCAAACAAGGCCTTAATGCCAAAATATCCTTCCAACTCGCCAGCATGCTTGTATTCTTCATGTCTGGGCATTATTGTTGCAATAATTGATTATTACCTCTGGAATTAATCGATTATCTTGTCCAAAATGAACTAATCGATTAATACCTTTGGCTTTAATCGATTATCACTTTTCCGCGCAGAAGGAATTTTGCTCAGGCAAATTTAATCGATTTTTTCAGCTGCATTAATCGATTATGGTGATGCACTTATCGATTATGATGATGCCTTAATCGATTATTATGCTGCATTTTTCATCACAACTTCTTTTCTTGGACCAACGGATATATTTCTTCACCTCCTATTTAAACACCCTTCCTTGGTCATTTTTTATAACAAGAAACACTCCAATACTCCTCATTCTTGAGGTGTTAATCCTCCATTAATCATTCCTGAAATTTATATTATTTTGAGAGAAAACTATTTGTTTTTAAGAGAGGTTTCTTGTCATCCATTAGAGCTAAACTTTTTCTCATTCCTACTCTTTTAAGAGCTATTGTTGAGAGGTTAAAGAAGAGTGTTCTTCTTGGTGTACAAGACTTATGTGACTTAAGTCTTGGGTGTAAAGTCTTGTAGAGGGCATATCTACGAGCGGTTGTGTCGAGGCTTGTGGGATTCAAGTTCTCGAGTTGTAAACGGTTTGTTAAGCACCCGTAAGCTTAACGGAAGTAGTGGTAGCTTCGAGAGATCTCTCGGGGAACTGGACTAGCGAGGTGGTGAACCAGTATACATCTGTGTGTTCTTTGCCTTCTCTCTTTTATTTCCGCTGCACTTACGTTTATATTATTAATCCTGCGAAAATCGGTAATCATTCTCAACAACTCTAGAACTTACCCCCCCCCCCTCTAGAGTTGCACGCATGCATTGTCTAACAATTGGGTCTGATTTGATCTAATTTTAATAAGAATACTTAATATGTAGAAAAAACCAAGTCCTACGGAACGGGCCCTTTGTCTTCTCTTGACCTCAAGAGAGTTGTTTGCATTGCAAAACACCCTTATATGCACCTAAAACTTATACCGAAATGTAAATAGGAAAATTTAAAGGGAATTTATTACGATAAAATTAGTTACTATTTTTGGCTTGAGCCATTTATAAAAGGATTTTAATATTGATAAATTAATGCTCCCTCCTTCCCAACCCCCCAAAAAAATTTTTTGCTTCCTTTAATAGAAATTTTTTTGTGGCTCCTCAAAATATATATATATATATATATATATATATATATATATATCTAAAAATTCCAGAATTAATAAAATTTAAAATTTTGAAAACCATTTTTTTCATAGCTAGAAAACAGAAATGATATTGTGAAAATATATTTTGAAATTCCAAAAATATCAAAATTTATTTTTCAAGTCAAAAATAAGTTCCAGAACCAGAATATAATTTTTCTAGAATTTAAAATATTAATTTTTCAATTTAAAGTAATTAAAAATCGGACTAGTGAATAGTACCGATCCAATTACTTCAAAAATACAAAATAAATACTTTTACGTGCTTAAAACTTATGAAACTTTTTATACAAGCTTAAAATCTCTGTTCGTAACTTATTATTAATTAGAATTAATTTTTGATCGTCAAAACTAAGTTTTCCTATTTTCTATTCAATAAACGAATTTAAAAATAGAAAAATAGGAAATTAATTCCAAAAATAGATTTTAAAATTTCTGAGTTATATTGACATGTCAAATATATCCCAGAAAATATAAAATCTAATTTTCATAAATATTAAGTATTTATGGCACAAATAACAAGTATTCTACACATAAACTACTTAATAAGAATAATATAAAAATACCCCAAACAGTAATTCTGAAAATTACTAAACAAAATTATATTAGGTCCAGTATCTAAATATGGCCACCTAATTAAATTTTATAATGGGATAAATTTTTGTCTCCAAAATTTATTGACTAACCTACAAAAACAATAACGGTAAAAACTACTAAACTAGTAACTTCGTTAGCCGGCTCCGATACCACTGTTGGGAAACGAGGCTTGGATAACGCAGCGGAAAACAAAAATTTAGAGTCCAAAACTTGATTCCACCCAAGAACAACTTACGTAAAATAGTAGCTATAGTAAGAAATTTACCTTAGCGGTGAAAAACGGAGAACGGAGAAACGGTCGGGGATGGTTTTGAGGAGATGAACGTAGCGCCAAACGTATGAAGCCTCCAACGTATCCACACGAACTTACTCCGGAGTCCTAGATTAAACTTGTGCTAGCAAGTTTAATTTAGGGTAGTAAAACCTATAATAATACTACTTTGGGGAGTAATAAGTATATAGTAAAAATATTTATCTTATAAATATTTCTTTATAATATTTTGTGTATATTTCTAACACTTTAGAAAAATAACTTTGAACACAAAATAAAATTTTTCTTCTCTCTAACTTATGATGGCCGAATCTTGTGTTTCAAAATGGGAAGAGATGCATTTTATTTATAAAACATCACTTAAAAGAATTTCTAGGAAATTAGTTAGGGACAAAAACAAATTAGGATTAGTGTAATGTCCCCAACCAACACAACAAGACAAATATCCTTTTGTTAATCAAATATTTGATTATGTCAATCAAATATATCATTAGGTAGAAAATCAAATTCTGTCTTGTATTTTTCCCTTTGAAATTTTCGGCCACCCTAAAAAAATATTACATTTTATTTTGACTTCAATAATTATCATATAATTAAAATGATGAAAATAAAAAATAATATATATATATATATAATAAAATTTGTTTTGTTAAAATATAATTATCATATAATTAAAATGACACAAACAAAATATAATTTTAAAATACATATGTTTTCGAAATACATACATACATACATACATACATACATACATACATACATACATATATATATATATATATATATATATATATATATATATATATATATATAACTATCACAACTATATATATTTAGTATTACTCCCACTAGTGTAGTATACTACTCCCTTACAAGTCCTAAGTGTGTGATCCTTTAGGTATTCATAACACTAGCAATGATATTAATATAAATTAATACCATAGATAATAAGCGGTATTTAGCAACACATTATTACCCCCAGATTATGAAAAAGACGTGCATCTCATCAATACCTTCTACGACACAAGACGTTCTATAAATATTATCCTTCTGTCCTAAATGTCATGATTTAACACAAGGCATGGGATGTGTACCCTTGTATAGTTAAATCAACTGTTACTGAATCTCAAGTAGACTAGTAGGGATCAGATATTTATCAGTCTCTGGATAGCGACATAGGAAGCTTTTGGACACTGCATGAGGCAATGTAGGTCAGTTTCCAGATCTCTTTTGCAAAGGAGGCACATAGAGGGGAGATTGTAACCTAGTTTGTCAAGGTTGTTGGCAAAGGGGGTGGCACCGTTTAGGGTTTTCCATAGGAAAAGGCTTGCCTTTGGGATGCATTTCTTGGGCCAGGGGATACGGGCGGTGAGCAGTGAGGGTGCAGGGCCAAGGAGTTTTGCAGTTACCTCTTTGAGAGAGAAGGAGCCATTTTCTCCTAGGTTCCATTCAAGACTTCCATGGTTGAGGGTGGAGTTTTCCACGCAGAAGTCATTTGTTTGGCATATCCTTTTCCAAGTTGGGCTATCAATAAGGGTTGTAGTAAAATTCCCGGAGCGATGGTAGCTCTGCTTGAGAAAGGATACCCAAGGGGAGGAGGTGAAATGATACTTCCACCAGAGCTTGCATCCTAGCGATTGTTGAAGAGTGTGAAGGTTAGGGATCCCAAGACCTCCTTCTATCGTAGGTGTGCAGATCTTTTTCCAAGAAATCCATGCATGCTTTGTATGGTCATCTGTTTTCCCCAGAAGAAGTGGCAAAGCTTGCGATCAATCATGGTGAGGACACCCTCAGGAAGTTTGGAGGAGGACATGGTGTGTGAAGGGAGGGTGGAGAGTACATGTTTGATGAGAGTGAGCCTCCCAGCTTGTGATAAGGTGTGCATTTTCCAGCTGGAGAGCTTGTTATCAATCTTTCGTAGGAGATCTTGGCAGTATTTCACCCTGTTTATACCTTTGTAGATGGGAGTGCCGAGGTAGGTCACTGGCAGTGAGGCTAGTTTCATTCCCAAGCAGTCTTTTTGGCGTTTTGCATGATTGGAGGAAGGCTTTGGTGAGATTATCTGGATTTTTGTGAGGTTGAGGTGGAGTCCAGTTGATTCTTCAAAGTTGCTAAGGAAGTTTTTTAACTTCTTGAGGTTGTGAATAGAACCATTGGTAAACACGAGCACATCATCCGCATAAGATAGGTGATTAACCGTTTGAATTCTTCCTGTGTTAAAACCTTTGAGATGGCCTGTGGAGACAAGTTTGTTCAGGGAACGTGTGAAGCCTTCCATTGCAATGATAAAAATGTATGGGGACAGTGGGTCGCCCTGTCTTACGCCTCTCCTAGGGTTGAAGGGTTTGGAAGGGGTTCCATTCACCAGTGTGGAGATAATGCTATGTTGGATGGAGTTCATTACTAGGGAAGTGAACTTCTGGTTGAATCCAAATCTGTTTAGGCATTGCGAGATATAATCCCACGAGATAGTGTCAAAGGCTTTTGTGATGTCAAGCTTTAGGGCTAGGTTCCCTCCTTCTGTTTTACGATCAATAAGGTGGATGAGTTCTCGTGCCAGAAGGATGTGATCGTTGATGTCTTTTCCGGGTACAAACCCTCCTTGCTCCAAGGAGATAATGCATGGCAAAAGGGTGGTGAGTCTTGATGCCAAAATTCTAGTTATGATTTTTGAAGAGAAATTTGTAAGGCTGATGGGGCGGAAGTCAGAGAAGGTTGTGGGGGAATCTTTTTTGGGGATTAGGACCATATTGGATTTCCTCATGGCCTTTGGCGGAATGATACCTAGAAACGATTCTTGTATGGCACTACAAATATCTGCTTGGATAATGTCCCATGTTTGCCGATAAAATGTGCCATTAAATCCATCTGGTCCAGCGCAACTGTTTTGATCCAGAAGCCAAACTGCATTTTTGACTTCTTCAATGGAAGGGAGTCTGCAAAGAGCAGTGTTCTGGGCTTCGGTGATCGTGCATGGTATGTGTTGGAGGATTGCTTCCATGTTGGTGGTGGGATGGTGGCTGTAGAGGTCTGCATAGTAGTGAGTAGCTGCTTCCAGGATCTCTATCTCTTTGGAGATGAGATTGTCGTGTTTGTTGAGGATGGAGTGAATATGCTGCTTTCGCCATCTTGCCCTACATGCTGCATAGAAAAAAGAAGTGTTAGAATCCCCTTGGGAGATCCATTTGGCATTTGTGCTTTGGCCTCTCCCTAGAGGGAACGTGTATGGTCATTAGGGTTGCTTTCATAATCTGCTTCTGCTCTAGTACATGCCTCCTCAGCAAATTTTACAGCGGTGAAGAAATTTCCAAACATGTCTTTGCTCCATTTGCTTAGACTGGTTTGTGTGGATTTGAGTTTGAGATAGAGTCCATGCATCTCCCTCCCCGTGTGGGTGGCCTCCCAAGTTGCCTTGACAGTGGTGGTGTAGGAAGAGTGAGTAGTCCAAAGGTTGAGGAACCGGAAGGGTTTGGGTGTGTTGCGTGGTTGGTATGAGAATTGGAGAAGAATTGGGTTGTGATCAGAGGTGGTTTTGTTGTGGATGGAGTAATGAGTATTGGGGAAAAGGCTGTCTGCTTTGGGGTTGAGGAGGAAGCGGTCAAGTGTTCTAGATACCATGTCGTTGGATCTTTTGCCAGACCAAGTGTAGAGGGGGCTGTCATGGTGAGGTTGGATTATGTTGCAGTCTAAGATGCAGGAATTGAAGTCCTCTATGCTTGGGTAACATGGTGGTGCATTCCCTCTGTGTTCATTTGGACTAGCTATGCAATTGAAATCTCCTCCTAGGATCCATGGGAGGTTGTGGGAGGAGGAGTGTGCCCTGAGAGAATTCCAAAGAGGGAGGCGTGCAGTTCTCGAATGTCATCCATAAACTATGGAGAGCCAGAAAGTGTTGGAAGTGAGTATATGTGTGAACTGGCCATGAAGCACTTGATTCTGTTCATAGTGGTTAATTAGGGTGAAGTGATTAGGATCCCAAAGAAACCAAGCTTTGTTCGAGAGGCCATGAAGATCCTTGTGGAGATTGAGTTGGTAACCAATGGAGGTCAGTTGGGTTGAGGGTATCATGGGCTCCAGGATACCCAAGAGTTTGACATTGTGATTGTGTGAGAGTTGATGAAGGCGATCTTGGGAGGAAGGGATTCCTCTTACATTCCAAAAAAGAATCTTCATAGGTAAAGAGGAGAGTTTAGAGGTAGAGATAGTGAAGCCTTCGCACGCTGTCTTGTGATCATGTTAGATTTGGGGGGTAGGTGGGAAGCTTTGTTTCGTTTGGTGTTCTTGGCTGGTTGGTATGGGGTAAGGTCTATGGCAATGTCTTCCTTGGAGATTGGGGGTAGTTTAGAGGCTATGGAAGTGCTGAACTCCCTGAGTTCTTGAGTGGAGCATTGCCTACTTTGGGCTCTCTTGAGACTGCCCTCGTTGTCTAAGCAATGTGAATAGTCCACGTAGGTTTTGGCATCTGTGAAATTGAGGTCACAAATTGGAGGCCACTGTAATTTTGCAGGAGCTGATTTAGGAGACATATTTTGAAGAAGTGTCATGTCCATGGGGTCATGTGGGGGGTGGTATTCACAGGGGGTTTGAGGAGAGGGGTGGTAGGGTTGGGGTCCTTTGCTGATTGTTGAGTGGGTTCTTGGAGTGAAGTGCTTGGGGTGGAGATGGTGGAAGGACGTGGAGGATTGGGATTGTGAGGGTTTTGTAGGGTAGTTATTGGGACGGGTATATTGGAGGGTGGTTGTGGGGTATGTGATTTAAGGGTAGTTTGGATTGTAGTAATTGGAGGAGAAGTGATGGGTGTCGTACCTGTTTGGGGTGTTGTTGTGGTGGGTTTAGACAGAGGAATTGGAGTTTTGCCCATGGCACAGTCCCCTGATGAGTGGCCTGACTTGTGGCAATCAACGCAGTACTGGGGTAGCTGTTCGTACGTGACCTGCTGCCACAACCCTTTCCCGCCGTTGTCCAAGAAGAACTTCGCCGGAAGTTCCTTGGTGACGTCAAGTTCCACACAGAATCTGGCGGCAGAAGGTCTGGTTTTTGAGGAGGTTGCTGCATCCAACATAAGAGGAGTGCCAAAAATCTTAGCTATTGCATGGAGAGCAAGAGGGTCATGAAAATGGATTGGGAGGTGTTCAAGCGTGATCCAGACTGGGAAAATAGGGCTTTCCTCATCACAGTGAAATTCTGGGCCCCATTTGAAGACATGCATGGGGAAACCTTGAATTTGCCATATCCTTTTGGAGAAGCATCGTTGGTAGTCTTCAGCATTGGAAAAGGTAAGGAGGACGTGAGAAGGGGCCAGGACTCCCACTGAGTAGCTATTTCTGAAACCAATCCGTTCCAGGACTTGCCTAAGGACTGGGAGTGGAGGTCTGGATTTGGGGAATCTCCCTACTAGAGAGAATTCGTAGGGAGCAGAGAGGGATTTGATTTCCGAGGGGGTGAAGGAGATTGCCGGATAACCTTTGTGTTTGGAGATTGTTTTGGAGGATATGGATTGAAGGTAGGTAGGGGGGGAGGAGCCAATGACATCTGCAAAGGAGTGTTTGATGTCATGGCGTGGAACTTGGACTGAGGAGTAGGGTGGCAGAGGAGAAATTCCTTCGTACCTGGATTTCCTTGGTGGTGGAGGTTGCTGCAAGTGGAGAAGGGGAGGAGGTTGGGAGCTGCTGACTTGAGCTGCTGGATAATTGAGGGGAGGAGTTGAAGAGGATGGTTTGCTTTTGAGAGAGGTTGAAGTTGGGGTTGGCTTATAGCTGGTAGTTGTAGCTAGAGCCGAAGGGAGATCGGTGGAGGGCGCTGGCGGAGAGGCGGAAGGGACGGCGGAGAGAGGCGGAGGAGGTAGGGGAGGGGGAGAGAAGAGAGAGAAGACATTATATATATATATATATATATATATATATATATATATATATATATATATATATATATATATATATATATATATATATATATATATATATATATATATATATATATATATATATATATATATATATATATATATATATATATATATATATATATA